TCCACGTAGAGAAAATCACTGTAGTACCTGTGAGTCTGGAGAAGAAGATTTTTGAAATATTGGATAATTTTCCCTTTGGGGCCCCGCCCTGGCCCCAGGGGTGGGGGTAGGAATCCCAATTTTACAATTTTGAAGCCTCATCTACCAAGGATGATTCTGACCAAGTTTGAAAAAAATCCATCCACTGGTTCTTGAGAAGAAGTTGAAAATGTAAAAGTTTACGCACGACGCACGACGCACGACGCACGACGCACGACGGATGACGGACGACGATGGACGAAAAGCGATTGGAATAGGTCACTTGAGCAAAGCTTAGGTGACCTAATTATATAATATTGAATAAAACAATAGTTTTCCACTTCGGAATCAAATCATATTTAATTAAATTTCAGATTGTTCAACTGTGACGAAACCATTGAGGTCCATGTTCAGCCATCTGCAGTGAAACCTATCAGCCACACTTAACTCACTCTAACTAGTCAATATTCACATCGACAGTATTGTAAGAGTAACAGACTGAACCTAACTGTGATACTATTGTAGCAGCCATCCCTACCTATCTGCCTTATGTATTAACAATGACTCAGTTTCTTTCCGTGTTAAATGCACCAGGAAGACAACTTGTGGCCCAATCTAGGTATCACATCAGATCAGTACTACATACACCATGTCACAATAACCAACTTGTAGCCCAATCTAGGTATCACATCAGATCAGTACTACATACAAAATTCACAGCTAAACGCCTTGTGGCCCAATCTAGGTATCCTATCAGATCAGTACTACATACACCATGTCACAGCTAACCAACTTGTGGCCAAATCTAGGTATCCCATCAGATCAGTACTACATACACAATGTCACAATAACCAACTTGTGGCCCAATCTAGGTATCCCATCAGATCAGTACTACATACACAATGTCACAATAACCACTTGTGGCCCAATCTAGGTATCCCATCAGATCAGTACTACATACACAATGTCACAGCTAAACACATTGTGGCCCAATCTAGGTATCCCATCAGATCAGTACTACATACACAATGTCACAGCTAAACACATTGTGGCCCAATCTAGGTATCCCATCAGATCAGTACTACATACACAATGTCACAGCTAAACACATTGTGGCCCAATCTAGGTATCCCATCAGATCAGTACTACATACACAATGTCACAGCTAAACACATTGTGGCCCAATCTAGGTATCCCATCAGATCAGTACTACATACACAATGTCACAGCTAAACACATTGTGGCCCAATCTAGGTATCCCATCAGATCAGTACTACATACACAATGTCACAGCTAAACACATTGTGGCCCAATCTAGGTATCCCATCAGATCAGTACTACATACACAATGTCACAGCTAAACACATTGTGGCCCAATCTAGGTATCCCATCAGATCAGTACTACATACACAATGTCACAGCTAAACACATTGTGGCCCAATCTAGGTATCCCATCAGATCAGTACTACATACACAATGTCACAGCTAAACACATTGTGGCCCAATCTAGGTATCCCATCAGATCAGTACTACATACACAATGTCACAGCTAAACACATTGTGGCCCAATCTAGGTATCCCATCAGATCAGTACTACATACACAATGTCACAGCTAAACACATTGTGGCCCAATCTAGGTATCCCATCAGATCAGTACTACATACACAATGTCACAGCTAAACACATTGTGGCCCAATCTAGGTATCCCATCAGATCAGTACTACATACACAATGTCACAGCTAAACACATTGTGGCCCAATCTAGGTATCCCATCAGATCAGTACTACATACACAATGTCACAGCTAAACACATTGTGGCCCAATCTAGGTATCCCATCAGATCAGTACTACATACACAATGTCACAGCTAAACACATTGTGGCCCAATCTAGGTATCCCATCAGATCAGTACTACATACACAATGTCACAGCTAAACACATTGTGGCCCAATCTAGGTATCCCATCAGATCAGTACTACATACACAATGTCACAGCTAAACACATTGTGGCCCAATCTAGGTATCCCATCAGATCAGTACTACATACACAATGTCACAGCTAAACACATTGTGGCCCAATCTAGGTATCCCATCAGATCAGTACTACATACACAATGTCACAGCTAAACACATTGTGGCCCAATCTAGGTATCCCATCAGATCAGTACTACATACACAATGTCACAGCTAAACACATTGTGGCCCAATCTAGGTATCCCATCAGATCAGTACTACATACACAATGTCACAGCTAAACACATTGTGGCCCAATCTAGGTATCCCATCAGATCAGTACTACATACACAATGTCACAGCTAAACACATTGTGGCCCAATCTAGGTATCCCATCAGATCAGTACTACATACACAATGTCACAGCTAAACACATTGTGGCCCAATCTAGGTATCCCATCAGATCAGTACTACATACACAATGTCACAGCTAAACACATTGTGGCCCAATCTAGGTATCCCATCAGATCAGTACTACATACACAATGTCACAGCTAAACACATTGTGGCCCAATCTAGGTATCCCATCAGATCAGTACTACATACACAATGTCACAGCTAAACACATTGTGGCCCAATCTAGGTATCCCATCAGATCAGTACTACATACACAATGTCACAGCTAAACACATTGTGGCCCAATCTAGGTATCCCATCAGATCAGTACTACATACACAATGTCACAGCTAAACACATTGTGGCCCAATCTAGGTATCCCATCAGATCAGTACTACATACACAATGTCACAGCTAAACACATTGTGGCCCAATCTAGGTATCCCATCAGATCAGTACTACATACACAATGTCACAGCTAAACACATTGTGGCCCAATCTAGGTATCCCATCAGATCAGTACTACATACACAATGTCACAGCTAAACACATTGTGGCCCAATCTAGGTATCCCATCAGATCAGTACTACATACACAATGTCACAGCTAAACACATTGTGGCCCAATCTAGGTATCCCATCAGATCAGTACTACATACACAATGTCACAGCTAAACACATTGTGGCCCAATCTAGGTATCCCATCAGATCAGTACTACATACACAATGTCACAGCTAAACACATTGTGGCCCAATCTAGGTATCCCATCAGATCAGTACTACATACACAATGTCACAGCTAAACACCTTGTGGCCCAATCTAGGTATCCTATCAGATCAGTACTACATACACAATGTCACAGCTAAACACATTGTAGCCCAATCTAGGTATCCCATCAGATCAGTACTACATACACAATGTCAATGTTGTTGGATCTACAATACAGTTTAATTACATAAACATACCCAGACCATCTCTGGTAAGTTTCTTATCACTTATTTAATATGTTCACACGTGCCAAAAGCAAATAGAGGTTTGACAATGTGGTCGATCCATCTTACAAGACATCTGTGGTGACCTGTATAGGAAGGTACGGGTATGTTATACCTACGAGTGCAAACAAATTATTTAGAAATGATCAAACACTGGTTATAAGCTGTCAGCGTCACACCAATAAGCTGTAAAATAACCAAGTTTTAAATATAATACCAAAATATAAACATCAACAAAATTATGTGACAAGATAGATTTAGGTAAACATGGTTTACACTTGGTTGGCTACATAAAGGTTAAAGGTCACCCTACCTTGTCTCTAACTTCCTGTGGGAAATCCTCGCCCTGGTCCAGTGGGATTCCCTCCATGTAGTCGCAGGTGATCACTTCTACCATACTCAGCTCATCCACAACCTCGGGGACAAGGAACTGTGGCTCGTTCTTCACCAGCTCTCTGGGTAGATAAAGCAGGTAATTATACCGTACATACATTGTATAGCTTTGTTATAAGATAATGGAGAATCTGGTAATCTGATAAGAGAAGACAAATTTTCCAACACCTACTTGAAGTATAATATTCAAATTTGATAGTCTATGTAAAACCTTTAAGAGAGACAGTAAAAAATACAGATTGGAAATAGTGAAAAAGTGTCCTCAATTTGGTTCAACTAAATGAAGTGTAGGAAACAAGTTCAGAAAATTTTATTTTTCAGTTTTTGAAAACTTTTGTATGAATTTCCAAAATCCCATATGAAATAGAAATTCATTTATGATCCTCAATTATCAAACAGTTGTGGATTCTACCTACCTAAACCTGCGGGCACATCTGGCCTCCCGGAGGTAGTCCACTTCCCACTTTAACTCTGTTCTCGCCACTGCAATTACACTGTCTATGTACACACCTGTTAAAGAAATACACAGAACTTCAGGTAAAATGTACAATATATATGATACAATGGTGTCAGGGGTTATGACAGGATAATTAACTTGTGTCCATGGAAATATGATCACAGTTTAGCCAAAGACATTTGAAGTCATCACACAAGTTTGGACTAAGAACACTTTTATTTACAGTAAGCATGTGAAATTCGGTTCCCAAGTTAACCCTGATAGAACATAAATTTCCAATTAAACTAGCTGAGTTATTGTTGTGGAAATGTAATTCAGGTTAGCTAAATTGTTCTTCCTAAGAAACCTGTGTATAGAGACTGTGTGTTGATCAATAGTGAGCAGTTTATACAGAATCCCAGGCAACGACTATAATGTATTGAAGTCACAGATACTTGGTTGTTTCACTTCATGAGACCAAGCATCGTGAAGTCTACATTAATGTTATAATTGTACATTATCTTTGTTTAAACATTTGTTACAACATTGTAATGAACAATGTGATGATGTCTTGACAACAAAACTAAGATGATGTATTTTAAGCATTGCCCCCTCTACTGCCTGCTCACCTTTAGGTATGATGTTGAACATGTTGAGAACGCCCATCAGAGAACGAATGTCACTGTCAATACACTGGGCAACTCCAGGGAACTGTCAATATATAATATATAAAGGGACATATTACTACAGGGTACTGTCAATATA